ATTTTTATTCAGGTTGCTTTACCTGATAATCTCTTGATGCTTTTCATCCAATGTATTATTAGAAAATATTGCGTGACTTGCATTTCTCCTTTCTCTCTCCTTGGCTGTCTAGGACTGGGTCATCTCCTTCCATCTCACCATCTATAACTATTGGCAGATGGCTGCCATTTTCTCTGTATAAAGCCTTATAAATAGACCTGCCCTAGATTTATGGCAGAGAGGACTGAGTATATGATACTTTGATAAAATCTTATCACTCCTTGTCACAATCCCCAAATCGTCCTGTCATATTTAATTTATCTCCAAATTATTGTTTTCCAATTTTGCACTTTCCAATAACATAAACTTACTGAACACTTGTCATAAATCTAATCTCAGTAATTACATTGAAATTGTTTTAATAGCTTTGAATAGGAAACAGTAGAAGTATCAAGATAAGGCTTGAAATGTCTTATCTTTCTTATCAGTGAAGACTGACATCTCAAGTGAACCTCTTGACAGTTATTTACAACTGCAAAGATTGTGCCAGTGTTGACAGTTTTATTACCAGCCTAATGGTTTGTTTACTTAATTGATGACAGGTCTTAACTAGGGATTTTAGCATGCTCCTATTGCAAGACTTAAGCTTTAATATCTGTGTCTAGTTGCAGGAACCATAGAAAGCATACATGCCCTTTATTCTCTAATCTTCAGAGGTGGTATTATTTAACAGGTTTTTTTTTTTACTTAATTTCACACAAAGTATATTATATTTTGGTTACAATAACTATTTTTCTATTTCACGCTTATGTTGACTTGATTTAAATAGATTTTAAATGTATTGCATTATGCTTGATATTATTATCAATCATGTTATATATAGCAAGATTTCTATTTCTCAAAAATTTGAAAGTAATCTTAAATTTGTATTGCTTAACAATAATACTATAGATATACAAAGTACATAATTTTATATTAAAAATAAAACTAAACTTAAAATTGAATTCCTAAATTTTATATTATTATTGTAGAAGCTTGATATTTGGACCATTGAAAAATCTATGTCCATGTCATTCCATATGCATGCATAATCAAAATTCACATTAAGAAATTCCTATATAGATTTTCTTTTTTTACTATTTTTGAGGGTAGGAGGGGGGTTATATTATCATAAAAGAAGGACATCCTTTGATTAGCAACAAAATAGCACATAAAACATTGAGCAGCTTAGATAATTCTGCTTCTTTAAAGCAGGTTATTTTAATCAAACTTTACTCAATAACTGAGAGGGCACTGCACCTGGGCCAGGAGGGAACCTATAGCCCCGGTACGACACTGGAACCAGGAATCTTCAGAAATATTGCCACTGGAGCCTTCTATGAAGTGAAAAGTCCTGCAATAAGGAAAATCCCAAGTAGGTTGATTACCATATAGAGACTAACTGGAGACTCCAGTCAGCTTACATGGGCCCAGCTACAGATTAGTAGCTCCTAACTCCTTAAATTTCACCCCAAACTTTGGATCAAAGAGGCAGATTTGAGAACTTTGCATGCTGTCTCCTTGCCAGCCCACCTCACAATAAAGTGCTTTCTTTTCTCAAAAGCCCGTGTCAGAGTATTGGCTTCTATGCGCATCAGGCAGCAAACACTTGCTTGGTAACAACATTATCTGTCCTTTTCTCATCAAGCACATTTTAGTAACAAAAACATAATCAGACAGCTTCTATGAGGGACTGTATAATGTAATGATTACAAGCAACAAGTTTGGAACTAAAGTGCCAGTGTTTGCATTTTGGCTTCATCATTTATTGGCACTGTGACCTTGAGCACGTTACGTAGGTTTTCAGAGCCTCAGTTTCTCACAGTGGTGAAATATATAACAAGCATTAAGTGTTGGAAGAGCCTACGGGAACACAGCACTACATGAGCATTAACTACTGATATGACGATATCCCTGATGGATTCGTCAAAATGAAAGTAGGAATGAGTTATAATTAATTAATTAATTGAAGGCACTTCTATGGCATAGTAGATGAATAAACACTATTTGGAGACAGAGAAAATGAATGAAACGAAAGACAACTAAAAACCAATAACTAGTAGCCTTAGACATAGTTAAGATGACACTGCATATAATTTCAAGAGCAGGTTACTATAAATAAAGAATGATGGGAGAAAGAGAAAATATACTTGGAAATTAAAAAATAGATTTGCTGAAGTATTTAAAGTGCTAAATATTAGAAAGGAGGTAGCTAAAGGTCCAATTATAGGTAAGCGCCAATTGCAAGATAAAGTAAGGAAATATCTGAGGATGTGATGAGAAAAAAAAGAGAGATGCATAAAACTGTAACATTGTGAAAGAAAATTTAAGGGTGTACAACAGAGCTAGATAGGGGTGTAGTTGTTCTTCCAGAAAAGAGTGATTATAAAGGGGAATAATGATGAAAGATAAGATAAAATATACTTGACCTGTAGGAAGAAATTCGTTTTTCATAATTTACAGTTTTATTAAGTGACAAAAATATCTAAATACTACTATGGACTGTAGGTTCCCCTCTCAATTCATTTGTTGAAACCTAATCCTCAGTGCGATGATGTTTGGAGGTTTAGGCCTTTGGGAAGCAATCAGGTCATTGGTATGGCCACCGATGTGCTATTCTAACCCAGGAGAGTGGGATTTGTGTCATTATAAGAGGACCCAGAGCAATCCCTGGCCCCTTCTGTCATGTGAGGTTATAGTGAAAAGAAGTGGGCTCTCACCAGATGTTGAATCTGCTGAAGCCTGATCTTGGTCTTTCCAGCCTTCAGAATTATGAGAAATAAATGTTTGTTCTTTTTAAGCTACTCAGTTTATGATAGATTGTTATAGCAGCTCAAATGAACTGAGACAAAACTTGGTGCTGAGAAGTGGGATGCTGCTGTAACAAATATATAAAACGTGGAAGTGGTATTGGAACTAAGTAATGGGCAGAGGCTGGAAGAGTCCTGAAGTGTGTGCTAGAAAATGTCTACATTGCCATGAATGGACTGTTAAGGGCTATTCTGGTGCAGGTCCAGAAAGAAAAGAGGAGAGCTGCAGAGAAAGTCTCAGTCTTCTTAGAGAATACCTAGGCAATCCTAACAGAATGTTGGTTAGAAATATGGACAGTAAAGGCCTTTCTGATGAGATCTCAGATGGAAACGAAGAACAGGTTTTTGGACGATGGAGGAAAGGCCATCCTTATTATAAAGTGGCAAAGAACTTGGCTGAATTGTTTCTGTCCTAACGTTTTGTGGAATGGAAAAATTGTGAGCAATGAAATTGGGTATTTAGCTGAAGCTACTTCTAAGGCAAGTATTGAAGGCGTGGCTGGTTCTCTTGACTGCTTATACGAAAATACGAGAAGAGAGAAACGACTTGAAGACAGAATTATTAATCAAAGGAAAGCAGGACTTAAAGATTTGGAAAATTCTCAGCCTGTCCATATTGTTGTTGACCTTAAACAAATAGCCAGTTATTCCTCCAGCAAAAATAGTTATTCAGGATCAACAAAAAATTGCCATTCAGGGTGTGCAACCATGGCAAGCCACAGTACATATCCCCAGCAGCAGGTAAAGAGAAACTCTTCTATAGAGGGAAGAGCAAGTTGAGAGGGCTGCTACAAAGAGCCCATTAGAGGACCTGAGAGTTCAGAGTGTAGCGGCTTTTCGTTGGCTAAGTTGGGACAGTCTCTCATTGGCCAAGCTGTTGCTGGGCAAGAAGAGGAAGTTTTCCCTTTTCCTCTTGAGCTCTGCAATCATTGTAGAGTGTGAGAGCACCCCCTTTTGGCCTCTGGACTCCATTTCAATGAGGTTTCTGTTTATTAATTTCCACATTGTGAAAAATGAGAAAGAATATTTGGAAGAGAACACTAAGAGTGTGGCCAAAAGACCGTCTAATGTAGAGATTAGTTAGCCTTCTCAACAGGAGCCAAGACCTATTGTTCAAGACAATGGAAGAATAACCCCCAAAGTGAGGCAGAGATCATCAGGGCTGCCATCCTCACCACAAGCCGAGTGTGAGGGCCGGGGCAAGGACAGAGTGGTTTTGAAGGAGGGGCCACCAGTGCCTGCGGGACCTGTGCCTTTCTGGGCTCATTCATAGGCTCTGCTCCTGCACTCTGGTGCTGAGTTCCTCAGCTACCCCAGGCGCAGACCAGATTTGGCAGCCCTATATATGAAGAATGTCTTTTTGTAGCTAAAATCCTATGCTCTATGTCATATCCAGCTCTTTGCTGGAGCCAACATGCATTGGCCAACAAGAGCCCAATTAAGATGGCTCTCTAAAATTGCACTGATGTAACATTGCTAGCTTGAAAGAGATCACTTATGTGTATTTATAGCATGGAAATTGGCAACCAATTCAAATTAGGGTTTTTTTAACTTAATGTTTTTTTTTGAAGAGCCAGTTTTCAAACAATACTAACATATTGCTGCACAACAGTGTTAAATAACTTTTGAGAGGTAAAGAGGAATATTGACCCAAATACCTTTTAAAATACAAAGCAAAAGCAGCTACCCTTTTGTTCAAGAGCATTTATAAATTTGTTCTCATAAATATACAAAGACCGATACACAAATATCAATACGGATAATACCCATCCTGTGATGCAGGTACTCTGAAAATGTCGTTTTTCATACAACCAAAGCAAATACACCCAGGTGATCCTCTCCAAGAGAATTTATTTTCATCTACCACCAAAATCATTTTTCTTAAGCTCTTGCTGTTCATGATTTAGAAACAATTAGAATGTATTAATTATCTTAAAATAAATCATGACTGCGCTTTAAATCCTTCTGACTGATTCTCAAATATGACAATTTCTAGAAATTACCATTCCATCTAGGTTCAGCCTGACGTCTTTTGTGGGGCATCTTCTTCCCTAAATGTCCATGTTTACTGCATCCGCCTGTATCAGTTTCAAGTGAAGGTAGGAAAGATGCTGTCTGCCCCTGCAAGGCAGAGTTGAGTAGAAGAGTAAAAAGGCAGCAAATACTTCATTGTTCATTAAAGATTTTGCATTTATTTTAAATGAATATTTATCCTAATTATTAGAATATACTTTTCTAGTGCAAATTTTATGAATGTTTTCTTACATTGAATAGGAAAGGGAACTACTGTTTAATTTTCTAAAGATCTTGTGCTGGTATTTCAGTATTAACCAAAACCAGATGGATAATTTGGGTATAATCAGGACGTCTAAAATAGAGCAATATGAATTTGACGTTTTCTGGTCATTGCTGTCGCTGTTAAGTCTTGTTGCTGTGTACCACTTGCTGCCCCTATTTCTCTGCAGGTAACTCACCGATCTGGCTAATCCCTGGAAGCCTCATCATTTTCTCTTCATCTCCACCATGTCTGACATTTTCTGCTTTTGATGTCAGCAGCTTAACCATGTGCTTTCAATTGGGGCCAGTTGGGTTTTACATTTTTAAATTACTTCCAAAATCTATAGGGAAGTATATTAGTTGCTATTATATTACACATTTTAATTAATTTAAAGCACATTTCTATTATATCTACAATGAATATAAATAATAATGTGTTGTATTTTAGACACTTTCTAGGCCTGAATTTCAGAGATGGCTGTCAAAGGAAAAGGATGAAGTCAGCGCAACAAAAGTCTTTCTTAAATCTCTGTGGAGACTTGTGTGTTTCTAACACTTTAATGTAACTGCTGAAACCACAGTTGTCATATCTGGGCCTCATCTCAGAGATCTTCAAAAGTTCTCTTTCCTGCAAATATGAATTCAGAAACAAAGAATATTATTTTCCAAGTTAAAAAAATACTTTTGATCTACTTAAATGTGGTTTTAAATAAAACTTGAAAATATAAACTAGCACATGATTATGGTAAGGTTTTTGTCTCCTGACATTTGTTGCCATCAGAGAGACAAAAAAGTGGCAGAGCTAAGTTGAAAGCCAAGAATAAGTGTGCATAAACTCAAATATTTTATTTATATCCAAACAGCTACAAGAATGGAGCAAACAGCATCTATCGCCAATGGCTGAGATGACAGGGGGATATATTTACAACACGTGGTGACAGTAAACCTCTCATTGCTCGAGTGTCTGACTACATGTGTTATAGAAAGTCACTCAAGCACTTTGGGTAAAAATAATCACACATATTACAAAGTCAGTATAATTAACAAGACTAAATTTTCTTATCCTTGACTTGTATAATATTTGGGTAATTTTTTCTAAGGTTGTGGTTTTCACATAATAATAATGGCTAGTAAAATGTCTTACATTTGACAACAGTAACAGGATCAGAAGTTTCCTACAAGAAACATCCTCAAGTGAGAGTTTATGCTTTAAAATTTTTTTTATATAATCTGGAAGATTTATATTTAGAAAGAAAGATGTAAATAGTTTGAATGAATTTCTAAAGTTCAAACAATTAGCATCGGGACCACAGTACAAGCTTTTTAAACGTAGGTTTTCTAAATCACAGGCCCTTGCTCCTTCTTTTACACTGCACATGTTTGTCACGTGTTTGTTTCAACAGAGTCAGTTCATGTGGACAGAAGCAAAATCTGCGTAAAGTACACACACATTCAATTGCATGTTCATCCAATTAAAGTGAATCTGTGAGGTGAGGCTGTAAGTCTTGTTCACCACTAGGAACTCCACAGCTAACACAGTACCTGATCTTAAGTAGATGTGAAATTAAAATAAATGAATGAATGGATGGATGATTCGAGACACATGAATGAACGGACAAATCAAGACCTATGTGTCTACATTTGTAAAGTCTTGTTGGGATAATTCAACATCATGTATGTGATACGCAGAAACACTTTTCCTTTATGCTTTCATTGTCTAATGAGGTAAAATAATAAACACTAAGATGTCAAATAATAAACCAAAATATTAGTGAAAGAGTAGTAACAACTCAGTTTCTAATATTTTGTTAAAAATTGAGCTGGTCAAGTCCGAGGAGATATCCTTAAACCAATGATGGCTCAAAAATCACAACTCTACTTAAAATTTTAAATTATGTACATGAATGAGATCATTTTGCTGTTCATATTGTCAGGTATTTTAATTCATGTCACAGATAGGTAGAAAATGATTATAAGGGCTGGCACTTAATAAGTCAATAAAATGAACGTATGTGAATTACTTAAACACTGAAGTTTATAACAGTGCTTTAATCAATCTTGGTTTAAATACTTGTGTTTTTGATTTAGGAATCATATATAGATTGATATGTTTTTGCACAGATGTGGGAACCTATGTATAGGCAGAGTTTTAGAATAGTTTAGTCCATTTTATTCAGAAATTAGATACATGAATTATATTCAAGTGTGATGTGAATACTTTTTACGTTTCTTAACTGTGGTGTGCCGTTCAACTCATTTCTGAACTGAACCTTTTCATATACTCCTGAATTTTAGATATTTTTTGCTAAGAGCCTGGGTTTTCATTGAGTACTCCCCAAAGTAGTGTCATGATTCAATATTATTCTTCTTCAAGTATTTCCACAAATGAAGCTTCCTTAGAAAAGACTGTGTAGAAATAAAAGACATTATTTGTGTTTACTGTGAGAAGTGGAAAGTAGAAAGATGAGGAGGACTTTTCTGGGGAGTTTAATCTGTCCATAGGTAATACAGCCATATCTGATCTGGCTGACAGATTCAACCAGCCATTTGTATGAGAGCAAAAGAGTCTCTAATTGTTTGAAGAACACTTAGGAATTTATGGTGCCATTGTCCTTGGGCAGTCCATTTTCAGATCGATATTTGTGGCAGAGTCAAAGATTGGGCAGACATAATGAGAGTAACCGAAGTGTCTCCATTAACAGATAGAGCCCACAAGCAAGGAATGTGAGCCTGAAAACTCAGGAGACTGTGATTTTTCCACAAACAAGTATCAATTGCATCATTTCAGGAAACTTTCAAGAAAATTTTAATTAAAATAAGCACTAAGAAATGGAATTTGTTCTTCACCTAATATTATTTTGCCTTATTTTCTATAATTTGATAACTGTTAAAAGTAGTATATATTGAGAAATTATACTTTTTAAAACTTGTAGCCTCTTGCCTCACCCCATCAGAATATTCAATAAATTTTCTTGTTGTTGAAATATATTGTTATAAAATCTTCCATAGGCTTTTTAAAGCAAAACTTTTTGCAAATTCAGTTAAAGTTATGCAGGAGGAACATACAGAAGGAACTCGCTTCCCCCCACCATCCCCCAATCTGTTCATGCACTGAAAATACTCTTCAGGCTAGATCTTGGTCTGAAATAATTGTCAAGTTGGGTATTAATTATATAAATTCGATACTTTGTGCAATTACTAAGTTTCATCATCTTAAAGTGATTTCTAAATAACTATATTTCAGACACTTTAGGTAGATTTGTTTCTAGGAAAACATCACAACTGATGGTACTTCTTAAAAATAAATTCAGGCAATTTGAAAGACAATAAACAGAAAAAAGTAATTTAAATATTATCATTGCTTTGTCACAAATAGAGTATTTAAGTGTAATAACAGCTGAGAAAGGGATGGGCTGAAATTTCCCTCATTTGGAATAATAAATTAATTAAGTTCAATAGAGAAAGTTATTACAAAATTTTCTAGGAAAAAAAAGACAGTTTTTATTTCTCTATTAGCACAAACAAATGTATGTTCTTTTACATGACTGAATTTAAAAGTTAATTTCAGCCTACTAGTTAATTTTTAGAGAAGGGGATGTTTCGGTAACATTATTTCACAGACAGCATGGATTATATTTCAGTCAGAAAAGCCAAATTTTTCAAACATATACTCATTCAGATTCCACAGTTACATTTTAAGGAAAAAAAAGTGGTGTTTTTTCTAAAACAAACAAATCAACTAAAAAAATCTCCAGTATCCCTATGTTTTATATGAGTTAAAATTACTTTTTAAAAACATGGTTTTGAAGTTCCTAAACTTCAATGAGAAGTTTCATTAGCAGAAAATTAAAAGTGTTTTGAAGGAATTATTTATCAATCGCTGTTTTAGAAGAATTCAATGAAGAAATTGTAATACGTATTATATAAGCATCAAAATAACAAAGAAAAATTGTCTTAAAACATGTTTGAGGAAGGACACACAAATAAGTTTCTAAAATTAGATTTTTACTTCTTACTTGTCATTGCACTTACTGATTTCCTTCTCTCTTTTCTGTTGAAGCATGAAAATTCAAGTAGGTAGACTATGTAAGAATGATGGAAACTTTTCATTTTCAACAGTTTTCTACTGAGTTGTTTTTTCATCCATAATGTGACTTTTTATGGGTCTCTGATCCAGCCCAATGGCTGTCAAAATGATTGATGAGGCCAATGCTTAAAAACGTGTAAGAGCTTGGGTCCCTGGGTATTTGGGCAAAAGAGGAAGAAAAGTTTTATGAAACTTATTGGTCGATATGCTGATGGGTCAAAAAGCACGTAGTAAAAAATAAGTAATTTTTAGCAGAAAGCATCCACTTCTGAATTGGTGATATCTTGACTGTTCCATGGTGAATTTTAGTCGAATCACTTTCACACACTCAGTCCAAAGATGTCTAAAGATCACACAATCAAAGTGCTTAGTTAGGACACATGTTTAACTCTACCATCCATATGCTCCATAACTCATTGTAGAGATAGGTGTAAATCCACGTACATTTTAGTTACCCCTAGAAATGTGTCAGTCATATTCTTGCATCAACTTCCCTTTCTTTTTTGTGTGGCTTATGTATGCAAGAAAGATGCTGCTTTTCTCTAATAACTTCTCTATATTCAATTTTGTGTAGTAAGTTAATAAACTGGTATCAGACAGACCAGGGACCAATCGTTTACTGCCAAATACCAACTTAGTCTTTACTTTTTTTCTTTATATAATGCTAATATGGGAACATAGCTCCCGTGGTTGTTATGGACATTTCAAGCCATTAAATCATCAGACGGGTAGGGAGTTTAAAAGTGTTTACATTTTTCCCCTCACTTTTCCTTTCGGCTAAAGATATAGTAAGTTTGAGGAAAAATACCAATGGTTAGAAAAAAGCAGTTGACAGGCAATGTAGATAGCCAAAAATACTGTAATTTTTAAAACAATAGTTGTCCTATGAATTACTCAAATCATTCATCACTTTTTTACCTAGTACACAAAAAAGAGTTGGAAGGCTTAGAACCAAAATAAGAAGAAAAAGAGGACAAAAAGTAAGGAAAACAGATTCATAATATTTTAAATAGGAATTTAATAACTAAAATTTAATAATTAAAACAAATGATTAAAACTTTAAATTTTAACAATTAAAAATAAATCATTACATTCTACTTTCACTTTATTGAAATCTACTGGGCTGAATTGCCAGTTTAGCTGCTATAGAAATGTCACGATTCTGCACAATCACATAAAATACTTGAAGTCTATAAATGTGTTATCTTTGTGCTTTTTCTTCGGGATTCTTAAGACACTCAGCTGCTTTTACCATTTGATCTGGTCATCAAGAATGTAAACTTGTAGAGGGCAGAGATTTTTTTCTGATCACTAATGAATCCAAAACGCATAGAATAGTTTCAATGTAGAAGCAGGGTTGCAGAGAATATTTTTAACTGAGTGAATAACTAAACAAATGAATGAATGAGCAATCCAGAAATATCCGACAACAATCAGCACTTTGCCAGTCCATTAAAACCCAAATGGATGTCGACCTTACAGAGGTAGATATTAACTCTTTTTCACATAATGGAGAACGGAGTCTGAAAAGTTAAATTTACTTCCCGAAGTCGTGTAGCTAGTAATGATACAGTCAACAGAAAATCCCAGGCCATTTGACTTCACCCTTTAACTTCACCATTTGACTTCACCATTAAGCATTCATTGGTGCTTAACATTTCCAGTGAATATAATTTAATTTGGGGAGGAGACGGCTTTTAACACTTATACAAAATATTTATACAAAGTATTTCCAGTGAAGTTATCTCTAGAAGAATGAGAAAAATACGGTCATATGTCTAACAGTTGAAAAAATAGTAGCTCATCCAAATATTATTAACACAGTATTATCCAGAAAATATCACAAAATAGAGAACATTAAATAAAAAATAAGGATAATATTAACAACTGTCAGTATCAAAATCTGCTTGGAAGTACTAATGTCAAAAATCCCTAACAATTTCTAATTTCATCTATTTTAATACAACAATTTACCACTTTTAAATACTTAACCAGAAATTCATTTTCATTTCCATATATTCTTTAGACTTATCAAACTTCAAAACACTTATTTTCTTCCATAATAGTATGGATAGATTTTACTTTGAATCTGCGGAAGGAAGAAAGTGAGAACAGTGCTGTGGGTTAAACTTTTTCACTTTTATTTAACGGGGGACGTTTCTTTCACTACCATTCGTGGTTGTAGTATATGCTATACATTTGCAAGGAAAAGTTAACAAATCAGAGATTATGGCAGCTTGGTCTATCTTTGAGAACAATTTTGAGTTTCCAAAGAGCTAAGTCATTTTTTAAAAACTTCAATTATTTATTTCTTAATTATATTTTCTCTGTGGACTATATTTTAGATGTCTTGAGATTAACTTTCAAGGCTTCTGCAAATGTTCCTTGAATATTTGATATAACCACGTGTTGTGTTTCCTTTTGCAGAACACAAATCTCTAAGTATACCCATGTCAGCCATGTGAGGTTCCATCATCAGAGCACATTAATCTTACCTTTATCATCTAGTTTCATGGTTTCTACTTTTATTTGTTTTAATTTTTTAGACATTTGCTGTATGTATTTTGATGTTTTTATCCTCCGGTATTTGGAATAAATTAATCTTGTTAGTTTAAAATATTTTGAATTCATTTTCTTTAATATCAATCACAAGAGTTAAATAAAATGTGGCACCTCTTCATGTAGGGGGAGGTGCTTGTCCTACTTTCACACCTACCCTCAATTCTCCACACATTCTTCAATTTTAAGTACAATATCAGGATGTAGATTCATATAGTTAAGTTAATATATAATTTTTGCAGATTATATTTCTTATTCTTGGGTTTTTAGTACATTTTATAATCCGATAAAGGACGTTTATTTATAATTATCTCTGCTTCCTCTCTTTTCTTGCACACTGCTAACTCTTTATATTTTAATTTCCTTGTTCATGAGTTTACACTTTTTCTCTTAGCTTGCCAGAATAAATATATTCAAATAATTTTTATCACTATAGTGTGTCTGTTCAGTTCTGAATATGTCCTTATTTTTTAAGTACCACTTTCTGCACAAGAGTATCACACTTGCATATATCTGATAGACACTTTTTGTTCTGTTGTTTTACTTTTAAAAATTTTATTTACATTTTCTTGGTAGCAAAGAAAACAGGGAATGATATTTTAGAATGTACTTTTAAAGTCTTAACAGGCTTTTTTAATGAAATGGACTCATTCTACACTCAACTGGCTATTAAATATGTTTTAAAACTTTAGAATTGATGGAATAGTTTGTAGCATTAAATTAATGGCATAACAGCCCATCATTTAAAAGGTTTAAATACAAAGGTGGAGTCTTGCTCCCTTTCTACGTCTTTCCTTTTACAGAAGTTCTATCCTCTCCCTTTTACTTCTTTGGCTCCTTCTTTGGAATTCACCAAGTACAGAGACTTCAACATGTAGTGGTGGTTTTCAAATTCACACTCATGCTGTCATCTTTGCTTTAGCCATGCTCTCCTATCTCAACACTAACCAACATCTCACAGATGTTTTCATTTACGGTTGCTTCATGCATCTCGTAATCAAGATTACCTATAATTACACTGAACTTCTCTTCGTCCTCACCAAACTGGTTTCATCTATTGGTTCCCCTACATATCTCAACATACTGCTGAAACAGCTTCCAACATTTGGTAACTAGGTTTCTTTGGGTGATCAGTCTAAATAGTCTGGTGCTTGTTTCTGCTCACTGAAAAATGGGTGCTCTTTCAGAGCTTGCAAGTAAAAACATGTTCTTGATGCCAATTTTATAAAATCAAAGCAATAATAAACTTGTAAGCCCACTCTTTCTTCTACTCCTATCAAACTCAATCTTCCTTCCTGTACTAATGTTTAAATGTCTATCTCATAATGTAAGCCTCATGAAGGCAGAGGAGGGTCTGCATTGTCCATCTCCCAAAATATCTCACAGTGCCTGTAAGGCGATAGAGACTGAATAAATATTTAGCAAAAGATTAGAAAAAAATAAAAAGGAAGTGTTGTGATCTTTAATAGCATCTAAAATGTTTACAAATATTTCAAGTAAATGTTCTCTCTCTATATGAGTGAGGATACATAGAGGCAATATTAAAAAATACAGCATATATTACATAATTTTAGTATTTGGTACTTCTAATAATTCTGAGCTTTTCTATACATCAATGAAAATAAATATTTCCTATTTTTACTAACAATTTAAATTTGTGTAAAATGTTGCCTAAGAATTTTATGCTTACTCGTGTAATGTTTTTCCTATATATCTGATACCCCATGCTTGAGGCTTATGGCCTGTCCTTTGACATTTAAGATAATGACTGAGTTTCAGATTCTGTTGGTGGCATTGGTCAATGAGTCTGTCTGCAGGCCATGAAGGATTTTGTGAACTTCTGCCACGTTTTTATGTTGGCCAAAGGTCTCCGTGGTTTTTTAAGGGACTTTCTTTCAACAAATACCATGTAATGCTTAGCAAAGCTTAAGTCTAGGGAAAATGTGATATTAAATGAAGTGTCACATTCAACTGGGGGGGATGAGAATGAACAGCTAAAAGGAAGTTATGTGACAGTAACAAGTCAGGCCAATTTTTCACTCGAGTGACTCCAACAAATTCCAAATATTGAGTTACATGGAATATACACCTCATCTCCAAGTGCTTTTTAATTCCTTTACTTAAGAAAAGTTTAATAATATAGAACAAAATAGAATAAAAATCTGGTAATTGTAAGAAAATTTGACTACAGTTCTAATTCTTACATCCATCTTTAATTTGCTTAATTTTAAAGATATTCTGTCAGTGTAAAATTCCCTAAACCTGTGTAGCAGGAAACACTTGACCAAATTTTGGTGGAAACACAAGTTCTAACTCATCATAGCTCTAATTTGTGTACATTTGTGCGTGTGTGTGTTTCCTGTGAAAAACACATAAAATGGCAGAGACCTAAAAGCAGCAAGCAAGTGTGTCTGATAACCGAAGCAAATCTAAGACTCATTTCTTACAGATTTGTGAACCGTTTGCTTTCTTTCATTAACCTTAGATGATATAACTTTTCTTAGCATCGGTAGGGATTAAATAGTTTTGTACATGCCTCTAAGAAAACTTAGATTTGGAAAAACTACTCAAAATCTGAAGTAAAGAACAAATAAAGGTACTTTATAATAGTTTTTACATTTCTGATTTAATATGAAACACCGCCAAGCACATGAAGTCATATTATTTCATAAGAATACTACCTTCATGGAAATTTGAAAAACAAATATGATAGTATCATCACCAAATTAGTCTCTGTGGGTAGCATTTGGTTTGGAGTTTAAATATTTTTGATTGTTATTTGGATGTGCTGCTAAAAAAATAGCTTAAAAAAGTATATACAAAAACCAAAGGATAGTGGTATTTGGTAACCATTGTTAATATTTCATTTCAATTGACGTGAAAAAGATCAGAAAAATAATTATCTGAGGTTTACTAATTAATTTATATCCATTTATATCCATCCATTAGACATCAAAATAGCCTTTAATGACTAGAATTCTAACATTTCCTTCTAGCATTAAAAGTATATCCAATGAAATCCAGATTTCAATAAATTTGACTCTAGTATACTGAGAAAACAATGGAATAAGTGAGCTTTTAGTTTCTCTTTTCTGGACAGGAATAATTTAGTTAGGCGAGGAAAAGACTTTGGCCTGTCTAAATTTAGAAATCAACATAAACAAAGTCCCAGAAAAGGACTTTCCATTTCTTTCAATAATTTCTGCATTTACCTGTCTTTTCTCCTGTGACTCCTTAGACTACCTTCTCCTTGGTCATCTTCAGTGTATATCCGGATATTTATCTCAGTCTCCTATATCAAAAGTTCATGTGTAGTTTTTCATTTTTAATTATTTCAACATACCAGATTAATCTTTCCCAAATATGCATGTTATTTATCCATACATTATTCGATCTATGTAGTTAATGCTACCGTTTGCCAGAAATTATGCTGGATTCGGAAGACATCACGTAAGAATAAAACGAGGCCGGCCTGGTGGCGCAACGGTTAAGTTTGCACGTTCCGCTTCCGCGGCCCGGGGTTCGCTGGCTCAGATCCCGGCTGCAGACGTGGCACTGCTTGTCAAGCCATGCTGTGGCAGGCATCCCACAAATGAAGTAGAGGAAGATGGGCATGGATGTTAGTTCAGGGCCAGGCTTCCTCAGCAAAAAAGAGGAGGATTGGCAGCAGTTAGCTCAGGGCTAATCTTCCTCAAAAAAAAAGTAAGAATAAAACATATTCCCTGCACAAAGGTCAATCAGTGTCTCAAACGAAAACTGCAGAAATGAATTGAGAATTATAATGCAGAGAGTGTTAGAGACAGCTACAGGGAATCATGGTATTACACAGTCGTGTTCATGTTGTTCACACTCCTTGTTGAAACTTCTGATAGCACCCCTAATTTAGGGAAAAGAAATAGTTTATTTTTTCCCCATGAGAGGAATTTCCATCATAAATCAAATTGTAACAAAACATACCCATAATTGTGCTATCCAGAGATTTCTTTACCCTCAGCCTTATGGGCACTTGAAATTGACAAGACTCACCTGTCCAGGTTCCTGCTGTTGGTTTTGTTTCACTTGGATTTGTTCTTATGGTTCAGTTAATTCTACTATAGTATTTTTTGCTCAAACTAATCATTATCTTTATGTCATGACCACCTTCAAAGGAGTTTTCATTATTTGCTTTAAAGGAATTACTCTTTTTCCATCTGATTTTTTTTACACTAAGGTGTTTTCTTTTTAGAGCAGTTTTAGGTTCATAACAAAATGAAGGAGAAGGTACAGAGATTTCCCACGTACCTGCTGCCTCCACAGATGCAGAGCCTCCCGCCTTATCAACATCCCTCACCAGAGTGGTGCATTTGTTGCAATTGAAGAATCTACACTGACACATCCTAATCCCCCAGAGTCTGCAGTTTACATTAGGGCTCAGTCTTGGTTTTGTATATTCTACAGGTTTGGACAAATGTGTGACATGTATCCGTCATTAAGGTATCATACAGAGTATTCTCACTGCCCTAAAAATCCTCCATGCTGCACCAATTCATCTCCTGCTCAAAGGTAAAGTCAGGATATTATTTAAAGTATGTTCAATTATATTAAAATTAAAGACATAACAGTTTTTCATGGAACCAAACAAATCAATTTCCCATTTATAACAAGAAAATCTATGTTCTATTAGAACACACTAAATACTATTTCTCCCAAGTGCACATTGGCACACTTAAACCAATCAGGATTATGCAAGGATACCTCCATGTGGAACATGAATGAGTGTGTATGTGTGTATGTGTGAGTGTGCACATGCACACTCACAAAAATGTTTTAACTCTTCAAATAACGTTTTGGAAAAATCTTATCCCCTTGTGAAAGTAAAGAAAACATTTACTAAACATTTCTAGGTGTTACTAAATTATCTTTTGTTCAGAAAAAGATGTATGAATTAAAATAAATATATAATGGAGCAGTTAAGATGCCTTAATGGGGCGGGGGAGAGGGGCAGGGGGTGAGGGCCATACCTAAAATGAAACTCCTATCCGAAACAAAAGTAATTTAGCTTCATGGACAGCTGCACCTCAGAGAGTCAGGCATATGAGTGATTAAAATTAAAGAGATGATTTTAATATGCCTTAGTAACTGTGATTGATCTTATAGAGATTCTGTTTACTACACATCAAGAAACAATTTAGGATTGAGTTTAAAACAAAGTTTAGATTCTTGTTTAAAGGATTTTGGTACCTCAGGCAATACAATGCTGTGAAAATGATTAAAATATGCCCTGTTTCTGTGTAATCAATAAAACCGCTCTAAAACTAGTTAGGGTCCAAAGACTCCTCAGGCAGCTTGGCAGTGCTGTGTCTATAGAATTCCAAATAAACTCCCTATCATTATCCACACACAAGCTTCATTAGACGTCTCACCCTCGTCCTAGCATTGAAGTCAGATAAACAATCAAATTAAAAGGTCAGCTTTCACCAATATGTAGATAGAACAAAGAACGTATCAAAACCTTAACAGAAATACATCAAAATGCAGTGTTAGAAAAAGATTGGAAAACCTACATGTGTGTAAATTTAAGATGATAATCACAACATTCTACACTGAGAGATTTTACAGAGGGGGTTGAATCAATTACTAAAATTGGAAAAATACAAAAAAATAATAATCCCTATTAGCTGTATTTCTTAAAGGCATTAATTGTTTGTTTATTATGAAATCTAACATCTAGATTCTTTTGATGAAAGGACGGACAAAATTATGACTTCGAAATTAAATTTTAATTCCCACTAGGATTTCAGGAATCTGTCATATACATATTTACAAATAATATCATGAAAATGTCTGAATTCATTAAGCTTTTTAAAAATTTAATCTTTCACCAGTGTGAAAAAAAGTGTGGTACCACTATTTACATTGCAGTTTAAATATATGGATGTATATAGATTTTTGATTGCATGAAAGCTTTCTCACTGCATTCTTATTATTTTCTGATTTATATAGCAAAGGCCATGTGGAGTTCAACTTTTATACACATCAAGTTTTTATGAAATTACTACATTTTGGTGAATTTCCATTTTTAGTGAAGCTAAGGAAAATGACACACATCCTGTAGAAATATGGTTATTTTAACACTCATTGTGTCTCATGAAAAATTACCTAAATTAACTTATTAGCTTTGTAGACATTCATGACTCATTACTTCATCAACTATTTCTGTTGACCATAATTATAATGACCAAGATTAAGTCAGTATTTGCCTTAGTCATCTTGGGCTTCTATCACAAATTACCATAGACTGGATGGTTTGAACAGCAAAAATGCATTTCTCACAGTTCTGGAGCCTGGAAGTCCCAGATCAGGGTGCCAGCAGGGTCAGGTTCTGGTGAGAACCCACTTCCTGGTTATGTCCTCACTTAGCCGTTGAAACAGAGGGGGCGATCTCTTGTCTTTCCCCCTTTTTATAAGAGTGTTAATCCCATCATGGGGTTTCACCTTCCTGACCTAATCTAATACTAATTACCTCCCAAAGGGTCCACCTCCAAATACCATCACACTAGGGATTATAATTTCAACATATAAACTTGGGGGCGGGGGGGGGGGGCACGAAAATTCAGTCCAAATTAGCACTAAATGATTACTTCATTTATTTTACGGTGTGTATGTGCATGTATGGGTGTGGATGTGTGCTTATTGAAATCTGAGGTAATTTTTATTTTCCTGAATCTGATTGCATACTAAATGAATGAACATACGACCACATGTTTTCTATCTACTTGAGGTCTATCACAGAATTTTTTTAGAATCCTTAAACAGAAATGAAGACAAATACGTCTCATTGAATTACTATTACTGTACTGAATGCTTTAGCCTTGCCATGTCTATTATAAATTAATATGATTTATTGAATACTCACTATTCTAAGAACTTTATATAGATTAGAATATTTAACACTCATAACAGTCCTGTGTTAGGCTCTATTATTATCCTTATTTTACAGATGAAGAAATTAAGGTGCAGCAATTTGCCCAAGGAAGCACAGCCAGCAAGGAGTGAGACCCAAGATGCAAACCTGACCATCCGCCCACAGTGTTTAGGGTTTGTCTCATGAAATTCTGCCTTGTAATAGCCTAACCCGCCTCACTATATGCTGAAAACTACAAAAGGCATGGACCTACACGTTGAGAAGCCTTGGATTTTTTATTGCCAGCGAGATTAGTTGAGCAGAGTAAGGCGAAACCTCCTATTAGCTGACAGACCACTGTGGCCTGGGCCACTACAGGCTGAAAGTCATTTCCAGGACTATGCTCCTTCTTTCTGATTTTTTCCTCTGGAACTCCTTCCATTTTCTACTGTTTCCAAAACTCGATAGCTGCTGGAAAACCTCCCACTTTATATGTGATTATAGTTTAATAAAATCAAAGTGGAGAGTATGCAGCTCACATTTATGCTTTTTCAATTACTAGCTTAGGATAAAACCGACAATTTAAAGTAAGTGGAGGATAACGTATTAGAAGTTTCAGTCTCTCTAACGCTTTGCAAATGAAGTTTAGATGTGATTTTACAAGTATAAAACCAGCAATTGTATTTCAAGTTGAGTGAAATTATTTATCTGACTTCATGCATAAAATGCATAAGGAACTCCCTGTCACTCATTAGGATGCTAGCCTATTCTTATTTTCAATTTGTTCTTACATGTTTAAAAAGAGACCAAGAAAACCAGTAATGAATTTGAAATAACAAACTAATTTTAAATTATGGTAAATAGTGGGATTAGTGTTCTCATTTTCCATTATTTCTCCCAGTGTGCCTACTTGTCCTAGAGAGACTATAAAATTAAAATTTACATATCTCAAAGTTCTTATTGGCAAACTGCTTTCCATCTAATGAGATGCACTTCCATGAGATTTTGATGGTGGACCAGCCTTCGGCTTAGTTATTTTCTGCCAACAAACACAGTTGTGGAGACCTTGTGGAAACCTAGAATCTTACTGAGGAACATTCCAGAGGCTAGATCCTAGCAGGGAAAGAGGGGCAAGAGCAATCCCAATGCCGGCCCTGCAAGTCTCTTTAGTCTCCTCCCCTACAGCAGAGTCAGAAGCAGCAGCTTCACCAGCAGGTCACTGTCCTGGCATCTTGGAGTCATTCTTGGAGATCCACCTACAGCCACCTCCCTATTCAGCAATTAATTCCCAAGAGGAAATCATCCTCTGTTTAACACATCGAGACACTTTTTCTGCAACAAAGTCCTGAAGATATCAAATGATAAACAATGGCCCAATGTTTATGCTAGCACAGAAAAAACAACTTTTCATCATAGAAATATGTAAAATATATAAAATATGTTATACACTGTTCATTTTGTTTTCTACCTCATATCTCTAAGCCATGAAACATTATTTATAGATGAGTCTATTAATTGCATTAAATTTTAAAAATACTTTAGAAGCAATATTTTCAAAATAAAATTCTATTCAAAA